GCAGTTGCTTCACTCTAATGAGGATATAACTTCGCCAGATCCACAAATCTAGCACCATACTCAATTACAGACAGAGTCCCTTGTTTCAACTCCAAGAATTATATCTATTTCTTTCAGCGCACATCTTCTGGAAAATACTTCCTCACAAACTCCCTACTAAAAAAAGCTCAAGTAATAACCTCTCCTAACACTTGCAGTCTCTGACACGTGCCGCCAACCCACCAGTCATCAGCCTCCTCTACCAGCATATGCGTACCAAACCGTGCCTTCTGTGCCTCTGAACAATCCATGACCCGAAAGATCCTTTCAATCTCCTTGAGCCAAGTATGTGCCCCATCAGGATCATACCTACCCTTGAATGTAGGAGGATGATTCCTCTAAAATGTTTCCAAGACACGGGATCCATCATTCCTGCCAGCATTAGGTTGATGCTGCACAAAGCAACAACCTACAAAGCATAAACAATCACAACATCGTTTCTTCTAGCCACTTCTCTGTTTCATACCATGACACAAAATAATGGTTAAAAGAAACACATTGACAGTATTCAACTGTCACACCACACTACAGACTCAACAACCTGGTCGGACCGACCGACCTACTGTGATACCACTAATGTAACACCCTAATTTCTCCAAAGAATAATAATATAAAATTAGAGTAATTTTTCTTTAAGATGAACAAATTAACAAACAATTAGGATGTTACACTTCAAAACATAATAGACATGCTCTAAACATATACATAGATACATAAGACAAATGTGGATGAACCCAATAACCAACCATTGTCTTTAACCTTACTTTTATTAAGCAGCGGAAAAGAATCACATTTCATATCAAATAATTCTTATCTAGTATAAACCAACATTTATTCAAAAACTAAGGAGTAGACTCCCAACAAATCATTTAAAACCAAAATAAAACAATAAAGCGTTCGTCCCCCCGGTGTTACGAGAGCAACGACATCAACTCGAAAATAAAATGAAGAGTAACCTCTTTTGATCCTTGCAACCTCAGACTAATCCTGATTATCTACATGATATCATATAAAGCATCATTCCAACAGAAGAGTGAGATATCACAACAATATAAAAGAATGTATAATAATAAGTATACAGCAATTAAATCACACATATCCAATATCACTCTTGAATCCACGTCATCTAGGACCAGAGCCACCAATATCGTGAATAGTTAGGTTCACCTGGCTCCCAATCCACACCATCTAGGATTATAGCCAACCAACATCGTGAACAATTTGATTCACATCGCTCTCGATCCACGCCATCTATGATCAGAGCCAACAAATAGGACTAAAGTCCACAACATGTAAAGCATGCGACACAACCATGCAACAAAACAACACACATTGATATCTACATCCATCAATGCAACATGCCTTTACGTCCACCAGTTATTCATACATGCATCATACAATTCATACAGCTCAACAATATCATATATCATCACTATAACGACACCAAGTTAACATAATGCATATTTCATGATAAATTCGTCACACAACATCCATCTTATCCTGCTATAAGTACTGAAAACAGACATCATTTTATTCATCTAATTCTACCAAAATATAGTTCATCGCATTGGCTTTCTAACGCTTTAAATGACGCGTTAAACGGAGTCCAGAAACTTAAGTTACGACCTTTTACAAAAATGCAAGCAGTTTTGCTCGCCTTAGGCTTGTCGACGAAGCTTCCTGCTCACCTGAGGCTCGCCCGTCAACGCTGGGGCGACAAGACTTCCCTCATACATTTTTTAGGAACACCTATTTTCCACCCTTTCTTTCGCCTCTTGTCTCGCCCAGCAAAGCTCGCGCTCGTCACCACTTCGCCCGACGAAGCTGGAGCGAAGCTCCTCCTCCCATACCTTTTCCAGGAGCACCTATAGTTACATGATTTCTCGCCAAGAGCTCGTTCGGTGCTGCCCAGGAGAAATCACTTCGCCCGACGCTCCGTGCAAAACAGGGATTCCCTGTTGTGATTCTACACTTGTTCAGTCCAAATTTCTCATGCGATTTCAACACAGTACAATCCCAAAACTCACCAAATTCAACATGTTTTCATAATACAACAACAAAACATCATAATAGGCATTATCCACATCAGATCATAGCAAAATAACATCACATATTTTATCAATTTCACCACAAATCACCATATCATCAATTCATTATAAAACCCCAAACAAACCTACATGCATCTAAATCTCTTTCAATGGTGATAAAAGGATTAAACTTCTACATACACATCACTATACAATACCCTTATAGAGTAGGAACCCCACTGTTACCTTAGATTGATGGTTTCCAAGCTTCAACAATGGAGTCTTCTTGACCTAGCTTTTTCTCCTCTCTCTAAAACACGATTGTACTTAATGATCACTCTCAACCTCACTTTTCCTTATGTCCTTTTTACCCCTTAGACCCTTATAAGGTTGTTCCACTCTTGCCCTCACTTATTCCACACAACATTATTTTATGCCCTTAGTACCTCTACACCAAATATTATCCCTATTTAGTAATTAAAATAAATTTAAATAATTATAACTAATTATCTAATTTATTAATAATTCTAATTATCGTATTAATTCAACATTACCCTGCAATATGCCATCAAATCATCTATTGCATCAAATAAATCACAACAACACTAATGTAAATAGTAAATATAATACTCGGGGTGTTACAATCTCGAACAGGTTACCCTACACCGGAGGTTTTCTATGAGAGCATATCTTTTACTTCTGGTTGGCACACAGATTTTTGTGGACACTAGTGCCACTTACATAGATGTGATATATCTGGGGGACTTTGATGATTTTGAGCAGATCCACCAGTGGAACTGGGGACTGCTTGTTTGGTGTCTTGTATACGAAGATGTCTAAAGGATGTAAGTGGAAGACGGAGCAGATGACCGGCATTGTCACACTCCTGGCGGTAAAATTTCTTGGTCTTTGTGGCATTTTGTTAATTATTGTGATTTCGTTACTAATTAATAATTATTGTTATTTCAGGGCTGGATCCTATAATACTTCCCCCGCATCTCGGGTTGGTCACTTGCTACGGATTATACTGAAGATAAGTTGTGTGCCACTGCATACGACTCGCTCCGAGGAAACCATGCGACAGAGTCGTTCCGGGTGTATATTGATTGGATGCTGTTTGATGATATACACTTCCAATCATACGCCGACCGCCGTGTCACGATACCATTTGACAATGTTGTGCTGTTTACGGGATGGTTGGTTTACAGGTCACGCAAGACGACTGTTTATATGCTTGAGCGCGTCATGCGTCAATTCGGGTACACCCAGTACATTCTCCATGATCCTATTGTTTCTGCTCCTCTCCTGGTGAAACGCAAGGATATGGATGTCTTGTTTGATGATTATGAGAATCATCTTGTTCTAGATGAGACCCGAAGTACCTTTGCTCCAAATGACTGGAGCTACATGGACGGTTATATCATATGGTTCTTTAGGGTATTTCATTCATACCTCGTACAAAATGCTCCAGGAAACCCATTGAGGCTAGCTCGTCAAGAGATTCTAGAGGAGGAGGAGGCTATGGTTAATCATGCCACTGGTGTGTTGCCTATGTGTCATCGTATCATGGATATTGTGCAAGAGGGTATTGATGGAGGTCTGTTTCCTGATGGCTCTGATGTTATAGGTGTTCTAGATACTATCATGGTCGAGGCTCAGGGTGCTCAACAGTACAGGAGGCAGCAGAGGAACGCCGGGAGGGTGACGGGCCGACTCAGAGTCTGCCATACCCAAGTCTTTGTTGTTGTTGTATATGTATTTTGGTTATTGTTTTTTATTGTATTTGGATAATATTTTGGGCTACCCCCTATATTAATGACGAACACCTTTTGTATTGTTTACTACTATCTATTTATGTCTTTATTTTATATGTCTTTGTAGTATGTTTTATTATATACGTTTTTGTATTCAATGCGATTCGCTTTGAATACATTTTCCATTCGCTTTGCAAATGTATTTTTGGTTCCTAGTCGATGTTTAACAGAAAAATATATTTCCAATTTCTCAAAGACATTTTAGAAAGTGTATAAAATATTTCTTTACACTATAAGATGGAAAAAGAAATTCTCAAACATTACTTTTGTATTAACAAAGGTTAAGCAGAATCAGATGGTTCTCTGAGTAGTCTACATTATGGGTATTTGTTGTTCATCAACTACACTGTACCAAACTACATTAATAATACGGTTTAATTTTCAATAACCACTTCAATAAAAATACAATTAACACTAAAATGGTTTTAGTTTAATTTAAAACCAATTTAGAGCTAATTTATACTTAGAAATCGATTGGCATTTAAAAACCAACTTTAAATTTTGAACTCTTTTAGAATAAATAAAAAATTATTTCAAAAATAATAAGCAAATCATTTTTTTATTTTAACAAAATGTTTTTATTTATTATTTTCAGTAAAAAAAATATTCAGTTTTTTTTTTCAAAAAAAAAATATTGTTTATTTATTATTTTAAGGAAAAATATTCGAAAATGATGTATTAACCTCTTGTTTAGTAATTAAAAACTTTAAAATTGTGATGGAACCAAATTTAAATGAAAAAGGATACATTGTAGGATTTTAAATTTGGAGGTTTTTGAAAAAAAAAATAGTAATGAAAAATTAACCTGAAGAGAACGTATGATATAAAACATGTTTAAGTGTCATATAAATTATATTTTCACACTGAAATTAAGTTACTTGACAACTAAGTCCCAGCCTTAAGAAAAGTGTTGTCTAACTTGACTATTCAAACATTACATAAACATGCTGAATTGGTCAACACTGGATGCATCATTTAATGAATTGGTTACCCTTTTACTTGTTACACAAAGCGTCTCGTATCAGCACCGAATACACATTTTTCAAAGCGTCTCGTATCAGCACCGAATACACATTTTTATTATATATAACATAATCCATTGTAAGTGTTCAGCACCAGTTCAGAGATCCATTCTGGTGATAAAAACAAATAATTGACTGAATTCAGTAAGATAAAAAATATGAGGGGATCTGCTAAATCATGTTGAGTATCTTCGGTAATACCTGTTGAAGGCAGCTGAACTGATGGGAATTACACCTTCTGGAGATACAAGAGCATCAACTGGAATATCAGTTGAAGTAACTGGTATTACTCCATCATCTAGTATTTGTTGAGAATATGAAAGTGCAACTGCAAATCCTTAATGTGTTATTGTGATGCATTTTGTCGGTTAGGCTAATTCAACCAAAACTATAATGACTAGAAGGAAGAAGTGCATACCAAGCAAGGGCTGCTTCCAATTGCGTGTCTCTGCAAGCTCCTTGTAATTTTTCAGGAAGGTATCATAATAACTGTTAACAATCATTGTAATATTAGTAAGTGGTATTTGAACTTAAGGAAAAATGGAAGGACTGAACTCAACAAAAACCATCTCGTAAAAGAATCTTCACATGGTGATATTAGTAAGTGGGTATTTGAAGTTGAACTGCTCTTTTTCTATTCATGCCCGCATTGCATATCAAGATTAGTGTATCAGCGGTAGATTATTGCTCCTTATTTTCGATATGATCAACATACTCCCTTTAAATGGAACCCGGTGTACCTTAGAATGTGTATCTAATTTAATTCTGAGAAACAAGTTGGAGTCAGTTGTATCAGGATACCATATTGTTTCTTTTAGTGATCAAAATTCATTGAGCTGTATGTTAGACCCCTTGCTAAAAGACACTGTAGAAGAAAGGGCGGAAAGGGCCAAGAGTTACATTGAAACTGACTTTGGTCCTTTTTGTAAGAGTGGGGATTTTAAAGCGGTTGTAGCAGTTATGTTTTTCAAATAAAAAGCAGTTACTTGCAGCTATGTTTTCCTATGTGTTTGTAATAAGAATAAGTAGGAAAGAGGTAAGAAGGATTGATTATTCAGATTATTAGGGAGGGAGAGAACCAAGCTCTATAATATTGGTAGGAATGTGTCAATTTTGAGTGCATTTCAATTATTATTCAGTAATATATTCTATTGATACCAGTTTCTATCGACTGATATCAATGCACTAAAATATTGGTTGCTCTGATGGTGGTTGGTTACAAGAAGCCAAATGGAGGTCTGTATTGAATTGTTAGAATGAGGATTTGAAGCATTGCTCGCCCGCCATGAGAGAAACCATGGAGAAGCAGCAGGAAAAAGAATTGGAACACATCGAAGATAGAGTGGAACACATCGATATTAGATGATAAGTGACTGAATTGGTTCTGTTGATATTTGTAAATAGTGTTAAGAATATTTGTATGTAGAATAGTCCCACATCAATTATATCGTATAATTAATTGTAATCTCTCTATATATAATAAAGTCTCCGTAGTGCTTTCAAGACACGGTTTAACTTAAATGTCTTTTAGTCTCTCCTAATTCAATATGGTATCTAGAGTCTTCTAAGAGACAATTATTCGTCGTGTTTTACCCGGTTGATCCACTGTCTTTCGGTGAGAAATTTTCTTCTGCAAACCGTGTCATCATTCCGGTTTACCTCACCTTTTTTTAAATTTTTTTCAGCGACCTCCGCCGCACTGCCCACGGGAGAAAAAAAAAACTTCGGGGGCTACTGTCCACCGCCGCTATCACTGTTCACCGTCGCCGCCACTGTTCACGGAAAAAAATTTAAACCGTGAGAGATGTTGATCTGTCTCGTTTACTAAAGTTCCGTTTATCCCATGAGAAAAACTAATCGGATCAGCCAAATATAACATATGGGCTCGTGCTGTCGAGATGTGGTTTCACAGTCAAGGATATGAAGAGCATCTAACCACCCAATTGAGTGACGTTGCAGCCGTCAAACTCACCAAATGGAAGAAAATTGATGCCTCTTTGTGTACTGTGTTGTGGTTTTCCATAGCACCTAACCTCCAAGCGCAGTATCAAACATTCTCCACTTGTTATGAGGTGTGGCAAAAGACCAAGAAAGTCTTTTCCAACGACGTTCATTCTCTATACAGTGTCATCCACAAACTCAACACACTGAAGTTGAAAAATATGGATGTGCAAAGCTTATCTGAGTAAGTTTGATGCCTTGAAAGCAAGTTACGCAACCCTTATGCCTTACGCAAAAGATGCAATAGCTCACACCGAACAACAGAGTAAATATTTCATGGTCATGGCACTTAAAGGACTACCATCAAAACTCAAATCTGTTTGTAACTAGATTTTATCAAGTACTATTGCTCCTAACTATGATACAGTTAGTGAACCGTTGTTGCGCTTGGCTACACCACATGCGGTTGGCCCGGTTTCTCCTCCATCTATTGTTATTCCAACACCAGGTGACACTGCTGCTCTTGCATCTCTTGGCAACAATCAGAATAGCCTTCGAGGAGGGTCATCCAACTCCAAACCTCGTCCTAAGTGTGACCATTGTAACCGGCTTGGACATACTATCGATCGTTGCTGGAAATTGCATGGCAAACCTCCACGACAGGTAAATGCAGCTCAAATTGATATCCCACACACTATGCAGGCTTCACCTTCTCTTCAGAATCCTACGCCAAGCTACGAGGATTTTCTCAGGTAGTGTCAGACTTATCAGACCTCTGGTTCCACGATTTCGATTGCACACACTAGTAATTTATCTGTTTGCGTCTCTCAATCATCTCCTCTTGATCCTTGGATCCTCGACTCTGGTGCGTCTGATCATGTTAGCGGTAATAAAAAAAATTTCTCTTTCCTTTCTACCTCTGGTTTCTTACCGAGTATAACTGCCGCAAATGGTTCTCAAACCTGATCCCAAGGGATCGGTACTGTTCAAATTCTACCATCTCTTTTTGTTACTTCTGTCTTATATGTACCTAATTGTCCATTCAATCTAATGTCAGACAGTCGTTTAACTCTTTCCCTTAATTGTTCTATCACTTTTACTAACAGTGATGTTAATTTGCACGATCAAAGTTCGGGACAGACGATTGTCGTCGGATGTGAGTCTCAAGGCCTCTACTACTTCTCTACGTCATCTACCACATGCTCCACCACAGATTCTCCACTCATTATACATGCGCAGTTAGGTCATCCAAGTCTTCCCAAGCTGCAAAAATTGGTGTCCAGTTTATCTAAATTATCCACTTTACAGTGTGAGTCTTGTCAATTAGGGAAACATACTCGAAGTCACTTTCTCAATCGAGTCAATAAACGGGTTGCGTCCCCTTTTGCTTTAGTACACTCCGATGTTTGGGGTCCATCGCGTACCGTGTCTACTTTTGAGTCTAGGTATTTTGTAACATTTATTGATGATTTTTCACGTTGCACGTGGCTATTTTTAATGAAAAACATATCTGAATTGTTTTCTATTTTTGAACAATTTTATCGAGAAATAAGAATCCAATTTGGTTTGTCCATTCGTACCTTAAGTGACAATGCACGTGAATGTTTATCCCAACAATTTCAAACTTTTATGTCATCCAATGGTATTCTACACCAAACATCTTGCCCTCATACACCTCAACAAAACGGGATAGCCGAGCGCAAAAACCGACATCTCGTAGAAACCACTCGGACTGTACTTCTCCACGATAATGTCCCTCTTAGATTTTGGGGGGATGTTGTGCTCACGGCGTATTATCTCATAAATCGCATGTCCTCATCTGTCCTTAATAATAAAATCCCTCATTCAATTCTGTTTCCAAACTCTCCTCTTCACCCAATTCCTCCTCGAGTCTTCGGATCTACATGTTTTGTGCATAATCTCTCCCTGGTCTTGATAAACTATCGGCTCGATCACTAAAGTGTGTCTTTCTTGGTTATCATCGATCCCAAAAGGGTTACTGTTGCTACTCACACACTCTGCAACGATACCTGATATCGGCCGATGTTACCTTCTTCAACTTTGTGCCATATTTTGCGTCCACCCAAGTCACTCCGGAACCCCTTCAGGAAAGTACTCTCACACTTCTTCCGGAAGTCCCATTTCCCATTACCCCCATCATTCTAGGGAATCTGTCCCACGAGAAACTCCTACGGTTGACCCCCCCACTTCTCGCCCACTTCAAACATACCAGCGTCTGTCATACCTGTCTCTGAGGTTGTACATGTCCCTGAGATCGTACATGTCCCTGAGGTCATTGCAGACTCTCCTCCGACACTATTTCCATCACCGGATTCGATCCTGAAACTTAAGTTTGATCTTCCGATTGCTCTTCGCAAAGGTATACGTCAAACACGAAATTCTTCTCCATATTATTGATTTATGTTATCATCGTCTTTCCCCTTTGCAGTATACTTGTTTGTCCTCTTTGTCTTCTGTTTCTATTCCTAAATCTCCAGGTGAAGCATTATCTCACCCTAAGTGGAGGCAAGCAATGATTGATGAAATGTGTGCTCTTCAAAGCAGTGGTACCTGGGAACTGGTTCCTCTACCCACTGGAAAATCTTTAGTAGGTTGTCGTTGGTTTTATACAGTGAAGGTTGATCCAGATGGTAAAATTGATCGTTTTAAAGCTCGCTTGGTAGCCAAGGGATACACTCAGGTTTTTGGGTTGGATTATAGTGATACCTTCTCGCCTGTAGCCAAGATGGCAACTGTTAGACTTCTTCTAGCCATTACAGTCATTCAACATTGGTCTCTTCATCAACTTGACATCATGGTGATCTTGAAGAGGAAGTATATATGGAGCAACCACATGGGTTTGTTGCTCCGAGGGAGTCATCGAATATGGTTTGTAGGCTACACAGGTCTCTTTATGGTCTTAAGCAATCTCCGAGAGCTTGGTTTGGCAGATTTAGCATTGTAGTACAACAATTTGGTATGGTCCGCAGTGAAGCTGACCATTCTATCTTTTATCGTCACTCAATCCAAGGGTATATTTATCGTATTGTGTATGTAGATGATATTGTCATAACTGGTAGTGATGAGTCAGGAATACTCCAGTTAAAACAACATCTTTCAGATCAACTTCAGACAAAGGATCTTGGTAAACTCCAGTATTTCTTGGGTATTGAGGTAGCTCAATCTAAAGATAGATTGGTGATTTCTCAGCGGAAATATGCTATGGATATTTTGGAAGAAACAAGTTTGTTGAACGCTAAACCAATTGATACTCCTATGGACCCAAGTGTCAAACTACTACCCAATCAGGGGGAGCCTTTATCAGACTTGGGAAGGTATAGGAGATTGGTTGGAAAGTTGAATTATCTCACAGTCACTCGTCCAGACATTTCTTTTGCAGTCAGTGTAGTAAGCCAGTTCTTAAATTCCCCTTGTCAGGACCACATGGATGTTGTTATCCGGATTCTAAGATACATCAAATGTACTCCAGGAAAAGGTTTAGTGTATGAAGATAAAGGACATACTCAGATAGTTGGATACTTTGGTGC